CATTTTATTCATTTGTTTGCAGTGTGTGTGTTTCTTTTCTTTTTCTTACTGCAGTGGGTACAACTACTGGTACTGGGTTGAAAGAGAATGATGAAAAGAGATACCCTTGCCTTATTCATGATACTCGTGGGAAACGTTTCAGTATTGCAAAATAAGTATGATGTTAGCTGTAGGTTTCTGTAGATTCTCTGCATCAGGTTGATGTAGTTCCTCTATATTCCAAACCTGTTTTTTTTTAAGATTTATTTATGTATTTAAAAGTGAGAGTTACACAGAGAGAGAAGGAGAAGGAGAGAGAGAGAGAGAGAGAGAGAGAGAGAGAGAGAAGTCTTCCATCCACTGGTTCACTCCCTAATTGGCTGCAATGGCTGGAACTACAGTGATCTGAAGCCAGGAGCCAGGAATTTCTTCCGGTCTCCCATGTGGGTGCGAGGGCTCAAGGACTTGGGCCATCTTCCACTGCTTTCTCAGGCCACAGCAGAGAGCTGGATAGGAAGTGGAGCAGCCAGGACTTGAACCGGCACCCATATGGGATATTGGCACTGCAGGCAGCGGCTTTATCTGCTATGCTACAGCACCAGGCCCTCCAAACCTCTTGAACTTGTTTATCATCCATGAGTGCTGGATTTTAGCAAATCCATTTATCTATTAACTAATATTATCATCTGATTATTCTTTTTTAGCATAGTAGATTACTCTGATCAATTTTAATTGTTGAAATAATCATATAGTTGAAATAAATTCCAATTTCTCATAATGTGCAATTCACTTGATTCAGCTTGCTAATATTTTTGTTAAGGATTTTTTTAAGCTGTTAGTAGAGATACCGGTCTGTACTTTTCATTTTTCATACTATCTTTGTTTGGCTTTGATATCAGTATTTTACATGGTTCCCAGCTTGCAACAAATTGGAAATTATTCTCTTCTCTTTAATATTCTGGAAGAGTTGTAAACTTAACTTTCACTCTCTTTAAGTGTTTGATAAGATTTTCCACTGCAGCCATCTAAGTCTGAAAATACAGGGCTAGATTTCTTTTTCAGAAATTTTTGGATTTTAATTCAATTTGTTTAATGGCTATAGTATTATTCAGATTATATATTTTCATTTTGTTTGTTAGTATGCTACTTTTTTAAGGACTTGGACCAGTTTTATAAATTGTCAAATTTATTAACATAAAACAATTTATAGCATCTTGTTATCTTCTGCATGGCTGCACACTCTGTCATAATAGCTACTGTTTTCATTGTTAATTTTAGTTATTTCCATCTTTTATCTTCTCACGTTTGTCAGTCGATAAAAATTTATCAATCTATTATTTTTTTTGAGAACTTGTTTTGGTTTATTAGTTTTCTCTATAATTCTTCTGTATCCAATTTCCTTTATTTCTGTTTTTATTTTGTTTTACCTCCTTTCTGCTTATTTGGTGTTTATTTCATTTTGTTGAACTCAACAGAAAATTAAAAGCTATTGGGCCAAAATCCAAAAAAAAAAAAAAAAAAACCTACAAAAATCTAGAAAATTAAATATTTTTATTACATGGAGACATCTTTAATTTCCCAAATGTTGTCTGGAAAGTGGAGGAGAGATTTTGGAAAATTTTATGGGTTTAGAAAGATAAAAGCTAAATTCCAGTTACCACCAGGGGATAGGGTGTGGGTGGGAAGGGGTCTTTTATGACCCCATGTTTCTTATTGTATCCTGAAGACATTGAATCTCAGAAGTACAGATTCTTCATTTTCTTTTTCCTTTTTTATATTTTCTATTTATTTATTTACTTATTTATTTTGTTTTGTTTTCCTTTTCCTTTTCCTTCCTCTGTCTTGGAATTGATAGCACGACAAAGAGTGTGAGCAGTTTCTGGGGCCCAACAGACAATAGCGTACCTGGGGGCAGCTGTGAGTGTGAGTACAGAGGTCAATAGGCAGCAAGACAGGAGTAGGTAATCAACATAACTAGGAATTGGTTATATACGACAAGGATTGGATAAAGTAAACAAGTAAATAGTCTATGGTGATGGGAACAAAATGTAGAAAGTTTGAAGAGGCAAAGGCCTGATAAAATCTCTGCTTTCAGATTGAATTGGAATATTAGCTATTGGTACAAACCTGCATTTTGGCATATATGTAGATAGATAAAGAAATCACATATCTGTGTATGTTTAGAAGGAGAGATGTTAGATAGTTACAGAGAGAGATAACTTCACTAAAATGGTCCAGAAGTAAGGACAGCCCAGTGACAATGAGAACACAAAGTACTGAAGTCTTGATTTCGGAATGTTCAGAAAAGGAGCTGAACATGTCCACTAAAAGGAGCTGCAGTTCCCTGGGAAACCAACATGTTCCAGGGTGGGGCTCAAAAATACATGATGCATCAAAGTAAAGGAAGTTCTCCAAAAAGTCAAGATGACACAAAACCAATGTGAAAGGGCTCCACTGCCTAGTTATGGAATATTTGCGTATAAAAATCTTCTGTATAAAGTCTTTCAGTTTGGGTTTGTTTAATGTTCAGTTCATAGTCAGACATTTTTGGGAGAAAGGTCATAGAAGTAAACTGCCATTCTTATAACATATCTTGGGTATCACTATCAACATGTCCTATCACGGATAATGTTTTATTTTTATTTTTATTTTTTTTGACAGGCAGAGTGGACAGTGAGAGAGAGAGACAGAGAGAAAGGCCTTCCTTTACCGTTGATTCACCCTCCAATGGCTGCTGTGGCCGGCAGCGCACTGCGGCCAGCGCACTGTGCTGATCTGAAGCCAGGAGCCAGGTGCTTCTCCTGCTCTCCCATGCGGGTGCAGGGCCCAAGGACCTGGGCCATCCTCCACTGCACTCCTGGGCCATAGCAGAGAGCTGGACTGGAAGAGGGGTAACCAGGACAGAATCTGGTGCCCCGACTGGGACTAGAACCCGGTGTGCCTGCGCTGCAAGGCGGAGGATTAGCCTATTGAGCCATGGCGTTGGTCTACGGATAACATTAACCCAGATTACCTGGCCAGGGTAGAGTATGCCAGGGCTCTCAACAATAAAATTGCTCTCTCCTTCACACTCTATTCCTCAGCCTTTCCACACTTCTTACAGGCAAGTCACTGTGCAAATGCTAAGTTTTAGAGATAGAATGAGGAACTATATGTAATTAATTGAATTCTGTTGTGGATATATATCAATTTTCCCTATTAATTATGTAATCAATAATTTATTTATATCAGCATGAACTCATGGATGTGTATTTTATACTATGGTTTGTGATCCTGTATAACTTATTGTATTCATAGACATTTTGATGATTGAAAGGAGCTCTGTGGTATGGCTCCAATTATGAGCAACCACCATTCTCACACATGCTTACCAAGAACTTCCTGGTCTTGATGTGGTATCAATCAATGAGTTAGTCAACAAACATCTTAAATGCCCTTCTGTCTATATAGCTGAGCCTGAAAGCATTGCTATAGAGATCTAATTGTTAGAAATTTTAGACATTGTATTGCTGAAATTTGTATTTTTCCTAGAATCAAATCTACTTAGGCCATGCCTGTGCACTTTACCACATAATATTGTACAAGGTCTTGTTCACAAAAACTGTGCACAGCTCAGGGGAGATGCCAAAGAATCAAAGGAGCCTTGAAGTTCCTATTTGAAATTAAAGCTAGATCCTAGTCCTCTGCTTTCTCCAAAGAAGTTACAGAAATTTTGTGGCAAGCTGAGGGGAAAAGCCGTTATAGATTCTGGGGCCGGTGCCGTGGCGAAGTAGGTTAATCCTCCGCCTGCGGCGCCGGCATCCCATATGGGTGCCGGTTCGAGACCTGGCTGCTCCACTTCCAATCCAGCTCTCTGCTGTGGCCTGGGAAGGCAGTGGAGGATGGCCCAAGTCCTTGGGCCCCTGCACCCATGTGGGAGACCAGTAAGAAGCACCTAGCTCCTGGTTTGGGATCGGCGTAATTCAGGCCCTTGCAGCCATCTGGGGAGTGAACCAATGGAAGGAAGACCTTTCTCTTTGTCTCTCCCTCTCATTGTCTGTAACTCTACCTCTCAAATAAATACATAAATAAAATCTTTTTTAAAAAAAGAAAAGTTGTTATAGATTCAAATTTTAATCTAGCCAAAATGAATTTGTTGCTCCATTGAAAATAATTATCAGAAAGAAAGTTGAGTTTGATATTGTTTGATTACATCAGTTATGATGTAGAAAATCAACTGTAACTTTTACAAGGTGTAGAATAAGCTATTATTATATGCCACACTGTTAATGAGAAAGTCATCAGAAATTGGGTATACAAAAAATAAATAACAATTATTGCTTTCAGAGATAGAGATTCTATTCCCCTACATAGCCTTCAAGATATCATAATATATTTCAAGGACTCTCCAATGTTTATATAATGCATAACTGTGTAAAAAGAGATTTGGTCCTGAATACCTATAATTACTGAACAAGGTGCTGAGAAATACCTGGAATTTTCTGCAAAGAGTAAGAAAACTAATAATATGGATGGCTTCTGAGACTTGACCTTCTAGTTTAGAAATTAAGGAGGCAAGTGTTCTAGTGAAGATTCATAGTGAATTTGTTGTGATATTGCATGTCCTCTACTTTAGAGAAAGAAAGCATTGACAAAATGTATTACAAAAAAGGAATTATCAAATAGTAATAAACAAAAAAAAAAACAAACAAAAATCATCAGATGTAGGCAGGTGTTTGGGCACAGCCTGTTAGGTCACCATTGCTATGCTGTAATCCCGTGTCACAAGGTCCACTTCTGATCCATCTGCCTGCTAATGTGAGGTGGTGGATGATGGCCTGAGCATACAGGCCCCTATCACTCATGTGGAAGACCAGGATGGGGTTCCAGGCTTCTGACTTCATTCAGGCTAAGCCCTAACCATTGAAGCTATTTGAGAGTGAGCCAGTGAAAGGGAAATCTCTTTCTGGCTCTGCCTCTCTAGTTCTGTTGCTCTGTCTCTCAGATGAATAAAACAAACCTTTTTAAAATGCATTGAAAAAATTTATTTCCTTATATTTTCATTTCATTCTCCTGCAAATTACCACATTTTATTTTAGAACTTTCACATTTTATTTAAAACTTTATTTTCCAGAGATTACATTGCATTGTATATAGGATAGAAGGCACTCTAAAGCATAAAGATTTCAAATCAGCTGAAGGCATTCATTAGGATAAACATTCATTGGGATCATTTATAGATGTTTGGAAATAAGTTCTGATATGTCACAAAATGTATTTAGCATAAGGTATATTTCAAATTAAACCATTTCTCCAAAGGTAAAAGAAAATCGAAAGGAATTAATAGGTATAGTTATACCAACAATTTATTTATTCTATGATTCTCTCTTCTGAGTCTTCAATGCTCATGTGAACTTATTAACATTTATGTGTGTGTGTATGAATACATACATATATATGTCAAATATCATACTAAATGAGAAAAACAAAATAGTTTGGAATGGATGTTTATTTTTACTGAAATTCTAACATTCTCTACTATCTGTTCCTACCACATTCCTATACATTATAATTTTGTATAACAACAGTGAAGAAAGGAAGGTGGAATTAAAAAAAAAACTGAAAAGATAGCAGGAAGGCAGATCTTATTTTTCCTTTATACAAACAGTTCAATAAATGTGTGACCTGATTCATGATTCACGTGACTCCATCTCTACTAATCTAGAACAAGAATAAGTGAAAATGATAAGGAGAAATCTGTAATCTCAGGTATGTTAAGGAAAGAAAACACTTCTTAGATCTCAGTTCGAAACTTCACTGGAGACTCCTTCATTTGCTGTTCATAGTGAGTATCAAATCTCTCATTAAGTGCTACTGTAAAGTAATTTTTCCAGTCACCTGCAATCCCTATTTAAAAAAAGAGAAAAAAATAGCAAATATTTAATGTTCAAGTCACCATCCTGAGATTTTCTACTACTGACTGCAATCATTAAGTTACATTAAATCACACTTTTCTTCTAATCTTCAATTTGAGGAATAAAATGTATACCATAGTAATATACTTACATGACCTTACAAAGATAGATTTGTTGTGATTGGTTTAAAATAGAAAGCAGGGCATGCATTGTGGTGTAGCCAGTTAAATCACCACTTAGGATCCTTCCATCCCATGTTAGAGTACCTGGTTCCAGCCCGGTTGCTCTGTTTCCTGTTCACCTTCCTGCTCACTTGTCTAGGAAAGCAGCTCACGTTTTTAGGCCCCTGACACCCATGTGGGAGACTTGGATGGAGTTCTTGGCTCCTGGCTTTGTCTGGCCCATCCCTGGCTGTTTCAGTCACAAAGGAAGTCAACTAGCTGATGGAGAACATTTCTCTCCTCCCCTCCTTCATTCCCTGAGTCTTCCTTCTTAATTCTACCTCAGTAAATGTTTCTGCACTGATTTTCCCTGAAATGTTATGGTCTCAGGATGAAACTCATACTTTTACTCACTCTCAAAGCATTAAATATCATCTGAATGCAGATAACATTCAATCCAGACTTAAGCCTCTATTTCAAACTGCCTACATGATATTTCCACCTGGCTACTGTACACATATCCCAAATCCAGGTATTTTAAAAGTAATTATTTTTTTCCTGCAAACTCTGCTTTCTTTGTAATTTTCCATTACCTGGATTTTGGAAACATCAAGTACCCAAGGAATAAACATGGAAGTTACCCCCTCAAACACCATCTAATGTATTATTCATACTCAGGTTTTCTTCACCCCCATTGCCTCCTCTGCACTTTCTCATCACTGCCAATGACAGGAGCATTAGCGTGGTCTGCCTCTGCCCTTTGCTTTCCATCACATATCCAATGCTCTCCTTGCTAAAGGAATTATTCACCTTTATACATTAGTCAGTAATTCACGCATTCATTCCTCAGGGAATTCTAAACTTTCTATTGAAAAAAACAAGAAAGTAGAAGCTAGAAAATGTGTACCATGCGTATTGGGTAAAGACTGAAGGTAGAACAGTGAGCAGACCTTTGCAAACAATTATTTTAGGTGCTGTGTATCTATAGAAACTATGGAAAAGATGACATAATCTGATGAGTAGATAATTAAAATCTATTCTGAGAATTGTCTTTGTTTTCAGGCACTAGCTAATTTTGCCCAGTGATAAATTTCTTATTCCTGTTATTTAAAAAATTAACTGATCCTCTCACTGACAATTTGATTTGAAGAGCAAGATTTTCTCTATTGTGTTTCTGCTTCCTCACCTATCAGTAAGACTGCATGACCCATTATTCTGCCTATCCACTTGTCTTTGGAATTTTAAACTAACCTTATTGTATTAGACCATGCCTCTTCCCAAGCAGAATTTCATCTTGCTCTATTTTGATATTTTTGCTAACAGAGATGTATTTGAATTCCTACCTTTGCCATTTAGTCTTGGAAGTTCTGTCATTGTCCAAGAGAAAGCTAACTGATCTAAGCTTGTTTCCTCATCTCAAATTGAAATGATGGTAAACTCCTTTTCCTGAATTTCTGATAGAATTTAAAAAGACAATACACAAATATGTAAAATATGTCATACAACAACACAAGTAAGTTTCAAAAGTTATAGCTTCCAGAGAGTATTATTGTTGCTGGTGCTGAGATTGGAGTGCCTACTGGTAAATATTTGTATAATATGCCACATATGGTAGCAATCAACAAGTAATAACAACATAGTAGGAATACTAGTAGTGTTTTATGCTTCTCTAGAATGCTAACTTAATAGTGTGTTTAAAAGCAGAAGAGCCCTAAAAATAAAACAACCTGGGTCCACAGACATTGATATTCCTCAGGAGATTTTGCCTGTAATCATGTCAACTTGACTTCCCATTGCATTGAAGGCAAATAGCATACTTGCTCACCCTTTCTCATGAACGGTGACACTTTTTGATCCATGATTTCCTCCGGCAGTACTGTGTAGTTGGTGGATGGATTATCCTTCATCTCCTGGAATGAGGTGTGCTTTATAATTTTTTCCACGAGCTCCTCTGATGGCTTCCTCCCGAGGAACTGTATCAATTTCACCACCTCTTTTCTGATATCCTATAAAGAAGAAAAGAGGTTTTGAAGACTACATTACTAAAATTGTCAGCATTCAATGCCCTTTGGATAAAAACATGAGATAGATAAAAAAAAATCTGTCTTTTTATCCACTAATGTTGGAATTAGGAATCTCATGAAGAAAACCCCTTCTTGGAGAAGTGTCTTCTTGGGGAAAAAAAAAAACAAAACTTGTGGCATGAATGTTGTTCTCACCACCAAAAAGTGCTTGTATTAGAGACTTGATCCTCAATGTGATGATGAAGATTGGAGTGTGTAACTGGTACGACTAAATGGGAGGTCCTTCTGTGATTTGGGATGTGTCCTTAGAAGGGATTGTGGAAGACTTTTAACGTCTTTTTTGGTGGTGCAGTTGGTTCATTTCCTCAATCACAATTCCCCCTTGAAGTGATGCCATCAGCCACTTGACCCTCAAAAGAAGCCAGTCCAATGAGCTGCATGGTCTTGGACCCTGAACCTGTAGATCTGTGTGCTAGCTTAACCTCTGTGTAAAGTTAGTCTGCTGAGTATTATGTTACAGTGATAAAACATGTACTAATACACTATTCTAAGCATAATTCTTCCTTATCCACAAAATGGATGTGAAACCTACTTCAAATATGGTTAGAAAACTTAAATGTGATGATGTTTATAAATTGCTTAATGTATCCCTTAATGCATAGTGCATGCTCAATAACTTTTTTATATAAATATGAATATATATTCTCAAAGTCTACAGTGCAAGTCAAGTTTGGGAACTGAACAACTGCAGTTAACTTTAATTTTTCTCCTAGTTTTTTGGAATAATTCATGAGCAGCAATAAAATAGAAAAAGTAAGAGCAGGTATAAAAACTCTACCTTTTTATACTGTCTTTCTACTAAATATGTAACATCAAATGTACAAGAGGATTTCAAAAAATTCATTGAAAATAAAATTAAAATAGGAATTGATTAAAGTGCAAATTTTTGAAATTCACAAATTCAGTATTCAAAGAGCTTATGGAAATGTGTATTATGAAAAAATATGAATTTCAATAATATTTGTATCAAAGTAAACTTGTTTTTTAGTTCCATTCTTCTACAATTTTTTGAAGTACTCTCATGTATGTCCCATAGCTACAAACATACTTTTTCTATGCCACTACTATACTAAATCTCAGCTAAATCACTCAGGTATCTATTTGTAATATCAACTGAATTTTTATTCTGCTGCACAATTCTGTCTGCAAAAAAACTGTGTCCAAATCCTATGCCTGACTAATTAAATCTGGCTTTTCAAATTTCACCTTATCTATTATTTTCCTTCAGATGATATACTTGACTATCCCAATTTTAGTTAGGTGACCCTGTTTTTGTTCTATATATTCTCAAGCAAATCTATTACATTATGGCTTTTTTATGTCTTATTTATCTTACATGAAAGATCATCCTTACATACATAATGTTTATATGCCTTGTTCTCTTTCCAGTAGATACACTATAGAACAAGAAAGGTCAATTTATTCATTCTTAAGCTTCTCATTGATTCAAATGTAGAAGAAACTAAACATGGCTATTATTGAACAAAGTAGGGAGTTAGAGGATGCAGAATTTTTGAGTTGTAATTTTTATCTCATTTTTATTACTTCAAATGTTAAGCATAATTATTTTATAATTTCCATCTGATTATTCCAAAATTTAGATTTAAAGACTAATTGACCAGCCAGCACCGCGGCTCACTAGGCTAATCCTCCGCCTTGCAGCGCTGGCACACCGGGTTCTAGTCCCGGTCGGGGCGCCGGATTCTGTCCTGGTTGCCCCTCTTCCAGGCCAGCTCTCTGCTGTGGCCAGGGAGTGCAGTGGAGGATGGCCCAAGTACTTGGGCCCTGCACCCCATGGGAGACCAGGAGAAGCACCTGGCTCCTGCCATCGGATCAGCGCGGTGCGCTGGCCACAGCGCGCCAGCCGCGGCGGCCATTGGAGGGTAAACCAATGGCAAAGGAAGACCTTTCTCTCTGTCTCTCTCTCTCACTGTCCACTCTGCCTGGCAAAAAAAAAAAAAAAAGACTAATTGACTATTTGTCTGTTCTGATTCTTGAGTTGTATATGTCTATTATTGAGATGTGTTACAGTGCTATGAACTTAAGACCTTTAAATTTTTATCTTTGGAAATATTTGAAGCTTGAGATTCAAATATATTTATTTACAGAATATTTTTATTTACTAGTTTCAAGTCTGTACCAAAGTGTATAAATTTCGGTAGTATTTTCCTCTCAAAATTTTTGGAGGTGGTTGCGATCATTTATATAAAAGTAGATTTTTGTATCCAGAATGTTTTCAAAAGCTAGAATCTTAGAAATTGCCAAATTGCCTATGTGCTTTCAATTCTCACCTCTTTCATATCTTCATAGAAAATAAATAGCACTCGTGGATTCTTACTCTTCTCCCACCAAGAATTTACATGCTTATACCAGGAACCATAAGGAACTAAAATTAGAGAAAAAAACATAAAGCCACAATATCATCTGTATTCATCTCTGAAATAAGGGTAAAAACAGTAATGTCAACAAAGAACATATATGAATTATTATGGACTGACAACTGGTAGACCAGCTGTCCATCTGAGACAAAATTCTTATGGTTAGACTTGTACAGAAATGTCCTTGTTAGAAACACAATGTCAACTTTTATTATTATTCCATGTCTTTGTCACAGGAAATTGAGAGAAGTCTCTCATATCAATTTTTTTTCATTTTCAATTCTCTTTGTATCCAGAAGATCAGTTTAGCATATATTAAGTAAAGATTTCAACAGTTTGTGCCCACATAGAAACACAAAGTGAAAAATACTGTTTGAGTACTAGTTATAGCATTAAATCACAATGTACAGCACATTAAGGACAGAGATCCTACATGAGGAGTAAGTGCACAGTGACTCCTGTTGTTGACTTAACAAATTGACACTCTTGTTTATGGCATCAGTAATCACCCTAGGCTCTTGTCATGAGTTGCCATATCATATCAATTTGATCAAGAGCTTCTGAGGGCATTTTTGACACTGGTGTGTGTGCGTGCACATGTGTGTGTGTAAGTGTGTGTGTGTGTGTGTAAAACAGATTAGGTGAAGGAAGTTGAATTACTGGGACTATCAATGGTCTAATAGAAGTGTTGGGTCCAGGTGTCCAGTTTACTATTTACAAACTAGCTTTGACAACTGAAGCTAAACCTATATGAGTATATATTATACTACTAGCAGTTTAGACAGTAAGAGGTGTTCCCTTGGTGTCAGTTTCACTCCAGAACATTTGAAGACTTTGGAGATGATTTGATATAACTAAGTTAGAACATTAGAAGAGTTTGGAGATGATGTGATGTAACCAATGCTGTCTATTCCTTTCTCTTTCTTGCTCTCCTTTTCCCACTGCACAAGTATTTCATATGATTAAAACTGATGAAACGGTGTGATGACAGGAGTCACAGTATTCTGCGTGTTAAGTCAATGTGTACCTCCTCTGCTCTTTGACTCTATCAAGCAATTAATCTGGACAAGAAAAGTTCTTCAATGATACTTATAGTGAATTTATTCAATTTTTGTGCAGGAGCAACACTACTTTGCTCTGTCCTACAATGGTGGCCTTGACAACCTTGACACATGTGTTTTATCCCCAGTACTTTGGCACAATGTTTTTAAAAATCTATCAACAGGAGCCGGCGCTGTGGTGCAGTGGGTTAATGCCCTGGCCTGAAGCACCAGCATCCCACATGGGAGCCGGTTCTAGTCCCGGCTGCTCCACTTCAAATCCAGCTCTCTGCTAAGGCCTGGGAAAGCAGTAGAAGATGGCCCAAGTCCTTGGGCCCCTACACCAGTGTTGGAGACCCAGAAGAGGCTCCTGGATCCTGGCTTCGGATTGACGCAACTCTGGCCATTGAGGCCAACTGGGGAGTGAACCAGCAGATGGAACCATCGGATGATCACTCTCTCTCTCTCTCTCTCTCTCTCTCTCTCTCTCTCTGCCTCTCCTCTCTCTGTGTAACTCTGACTGTCAAGTAAATAAATAAATCTTATTTAAAAAAATCTATCAACAAACACAAATTACATATAGCCTTCTTTTATTGAGTCAATATTTTGTGCTAAGAATATAAAAATGGCATTATTCTTTTCCTTTCTTTTTTTTAATTTTTTTGACAGGCAGAGTGGACAGTGAGAGAGAGAGAGACAGAGAAAAAGGTCTTCCTTTTGCCGTTGGTTCACCCTCCAATGGCCGCCGCGGCCATTGGAGAACCGGCGCCCCGACCAGGACTAGAACCTGGTGTGCTGGCACCGCAAGGCGGAGGATTAGCCTAGTGAGCCGCGGCACCAGCCATGCATTATTCTTTTCCTTTCAATGATTACCACAGCATTAGAATGACCTTCTTTAATGAATACCAAACAATCATGCACCCTTTATTCCTCAAATCCAAAAACTCAGGTGCTTTAGTCTAAGTGTTTATTTAAAAGATAATACTGTTTACCTCAATCCCCAAAATCACTTCAATATATTGACTTTTAGGCTTTGGACAACAGAGTTCAGATTCGGCAATTTGCTACCCACATCTCAAATTCCTGTGCTTGATCGAAGCCTTAAGAGCTGTTACAATTTCTATATTTTCATTAAAGATCAGAAAAGATAACAGAACAGATGAACTTTTTTTCAGAGATGTCATTTGTCTTGTATCTCTTTCTTTAAGTGTTAAAAGAAGTGATTCCTACCTTGTGCATGCATAAATTTCTCCACAAATTCTGGAAAAGTTCCAGGATTTGGGTAAGCATTTACCATTTGAAAGAAATGATAATATGAAACAGCCACATCCTTAGCATTCCGGCCAAGATAAATCATCTAAGAGTATGAAATAATGTATTAGATCACTCAATAACTTTTCACATACAGTGTCATCAAAATTCAAAAAGAGCATTTATGTTTTCAATCATAAATATAGTACATTTTCATACTATGAAATAAAAAAGCATACAAAGAGTACTGGGACCATCACTTGGCACTATGTATAAGATGCCATTTGGGATTCCTGTATCCCATATATTAGGTCCTGGTTCAATTCCCAGATAAACTCCTGATTCCAGCTTCCTGCTAATGTGTGTCCTGGGCTCAAGTAATTGCTTCCTACCATCCACATGAGACACCTGGCTTTCTGGTTATTGGTTTTGGCCTACATTTCAAAATAAATAAATTTTAAAAGGGATTGTTCTCTTAACTCTCCATTATTTACTGGCTATGATCAGGCTCTCTACTTTGTCTTACTGAAGTTTCTACATTTGCAAATAATTTTAATGAAATCTCCTAGTTTATTAGCCATGTCCTAAATCTTGACATCACTTTAAAAGTCTCATTTTGAAGCTTTATTCTAAGCCAGAATGTTTTCTTCCAAGAAAGTCCTGCTTCATTTTTCATCACCATCAGTTGTTCAATGTAATTCTCCTATTATGATGTCAATGCCTCAAATCCACTGATCTTAATCATTTCTCTTACTATTGGTCTGCACTTTTTTGTCACTTTATTCTCTTTATCACATAGCTTTTGGTCCAACATTCCAAACACACTTCACAAATACCCTGAATCTGTCAGTCTTCTTGCTCACCTAGTGAATCACACTGGAAATATCTCAAACATGAATCTTCTATCCAACTGTCTCTTACTATGTGGTGATCTCTGAGACACAAGCAGTTTGTGAAGATCTGGATTCTTATAAATGTCTGATACCTATTTTAATTTGTGAGGGATTAACAGCAACGCTGCAACCCACTTTGCGAAGGAAGAAAGCAACTTGGTCAAATCTCTTGAAAAAGCTACAAATAGCATATCTCCTGAAAAATACATAACTCCTACAAGAGTACTATAAGTGGTTCTTGGAAAATGAAGTGAAAACATAATTTTATTTTGGAGCAAAAGGTTTCAATTCCATGCATATGAGGAGTCTTCAAAAACTTCATGGGAAACATATATAAAGAAAAATTATATATAGATTTCAAAAGTATTTTCAGCAAAACAAATGTATCTATGAATTCAGTTTTTCAGAAAACATTTTGAAGTACTCTCATATTTACAATGACAGAATCTCATGCATGAAATGAATTTTGCAAGATATACATGGTCTATCTAGAATCACTTATGATAAGAACAAACAAACATCATCAAGATTGTTGGAATTTTGGTCCACAGATTTTTAGAAAATGTCAAATAAGTTATGGGACATGTTAAGAGTACAAAGTGGAAATGTTTCAGGATTAAGATTATGGCCCTTTTTTGTAAGTGATTATTGATTATATTATTTTAAGATCCCATGTATTTACTGTGGGTTATAGGATATTCTTAATAAAGCTAGAAAATCTTAAAGGAACAGCATTGACCCCGGACATCATGCTTCACTTGTACTTTGGGATTATATATGATGTGCTTTCTATAAACCAAAGCTGATCATGTAAATTATCAGTTTAACATATCTGTAACTTCTCATTACCAATGAAGTAGACCTCAGACTTCCTAACTCTCCTACCACTGGTTCTTATAATGGAGCCCTACCTTATTTCTTCACTCATATAGCCAGTGTGTATACTTAACCTTCTATCCAAATTCATCTGGTTTCAGATTCCCCTAAGATTACATCTGGGTTTGCACAGCCTGGCTGATATGCACGCTATGAATATGAGAAGAAATGTTACTTGCTCTTGGGTTCCTTCCTGTTCCCAGCTGAGTCCGAATTTTTTTTACTTGATCTATGTTACCCCCTTACTTGTCTGTTTTCATGCCCCTTTTCTCCAATGGACATTGTCTGTGAAGACAGGATGGGATGTATCTTATTATGACCCTAGCACAGGATAGGCAGTGCTAGGGTCTAAATATATTTATCGTTTTCCAAACACTTGTGGAAATTTAATCCCAATTGTGAAGTATTGAGGATGGAAGTGCAACCCAAATATGATGTTTAGAAATGGAGCCTTTATGAGGTGATTAGGACTGGATAAAGTCATTAAGATAGAGCCCCCATGGTTAACTATTGGTGACTTTATAAGGAAGGGGAGAACAGTCAGAACACAAGTGCATACACTCCCCGCCTCCTTCCATGGGTGCCCTGTGCCACCTCATGACTCTGCCATCAAGGTCCAGTCTCAGAACCTCTTCCTTGGCACAGAACCATGAGCCAAGAGACCTTTTCCTTATGGCTGCAGCATTCTGTGGTGTTGAGTTCTTAGCAACAGAAAATGCATTGAAACAGGTGCTCAATTAAAGTTATAAGACACTTGTGTTTCTGAGCCTTTTCTGATTCATTTTCATGCTTCTCAATGCCAAATTCAGCAGTGACAAAAAGAGGACATTTGATTCAATCAGAAAGAGCAATAAATACAAAAGTAGTTACCATTTATACAGTATGATAGGCATGATGTTAAGCAATTTTACAAGCATGGTAACCACTCTGTAAACGAGGTGCTACTATTATTCTTTCACAGACAAGGAAACTGGAGCTTAAAGAATTTATCCTTTGCTTTTTCCAGAATGATCTCAAGCAAATAGCAGAACTGATATTGAAATCTAGGCTGACCATACAGAATATAATCCATATTCATTGAATTTCTTGAGAGTCAATGAAATAATAAATATATAAGCTTATATAAGACTTAAGGTAATATCTTACTTTATTATTCTAAAATTTATATGAGTTTGATGTGGTTCTGAGAATGTTTGACTCTGGTTACCTTGCAGTTATTTTCCCAAAATGAGACTGGAAGAAGTTCAGGCGGTAGATGAGTCTTCACTATCCTAGGAGATGCCATCTCTTTCAATTGTTTAACTCCTGATTTTTAAAAAATTTAAGGTTAAGTGACTTCAAAAAGCATGAATATTTACATGGATTTACATAGATATTTTAAAAAAGAGAAACAAATCTAAGATTCTATAGCATGTTTATAATGACACCTACTATGAAAAATATAGGAAGAAGAAATTACAAATAAAACGATCAGATAAAGTTTCACCACCCATGTAAAATTATTATTAAAATTTTGCTAACAAACCTTTTATATATATGCATTTCTACTTTTGCTTACAATTTCTTTGCTACTATCTACATCCAACCTTAGAATATTTGCCTGTAACTTTTAAAATTAACTTAAATATTACCATTCATGACATCTTCTTTTCTGCATTCCAGGAAAGGTATTCGATTAAAAATTGCATCTTCTTTGCACTTTTCCACATCACCCTCAGTATAGATCATATATACAATTTCACTAACCCAGGTGGTGCCTGTAAAAAGTGAACCAATCTTAGTCTCCCCTGAGCATGCAGGGCTGATGATGGGAGTGCTGAATTTTTAGCAGGATAAAGCAGGAAGATACTAATACAATATTATTTAAAAGATGTATAAATACCTATAGACTCAAGAAAAATTTCCCCCAATATTTAATCTTATGAGGCCCCAAAATAGTCTCAGTAAATAATAATGAATTTTATAGTAAAACACATGTGATAAGTGTGTCCAAATTTACCCATAGTGAATTGTGACATTGTGCAAACTGATAACATCGTGGATTTCAATTTTGGTAACTAAAAAGTAAGGAGACTTGAAAAATTAGTGATGCACCAAAGTACTCTTTCAACAAACTTTCCTAATAACTTACTATACACTAGTCTGTATCTTAGTGCAAAGTCTTTAAGAAAGTGTAAATCAAATCCCTGCCCTATGATGACCAAAAGCCTTTTAAAGAATCAGAATCTGTGTTCAATAATGACAACACTTAACTTTTCTTAATATTATAATATAGGGGACACTGAGGTATAAAAGTCTACAAAGAAAGAACACATAACTCAATGTGCTGTTGACATGGTAGCTGCTGTTTCGGTAGATATTTCTTGACAAGAAATATCTTCAATAGGACATGGTAATTGAACTTAGGCTTAATATATTACAGGTATAATTCACCATTTGTGGGAGGTAGAGAGGGGACTATTAAGCAGAATAATGATCTATGTTTTTTTTTTTTAAATCAAGGCTAGGTACTTAAGAATGATGTAGTACTGAGAAAAATATTGGAAATAAACTCTATAACCCATACAAGAATCTACCCGAATAGATGAGAGGGGATGAGACCACAGAGGCAAGCAGATGACAAGTGTAAAGTGCCATGCAGTTCATACTAGAGGGTCTTAGTTGTTTATAAAAATTATGAAAAAGCATTGATGAATCTTAAAAATATAGCAATATTATCAGATCGTGTTTTATAAGAATCTCTTCTCAAATAAAACAAGCACAGCATTGGAGTGAGGGATCAATAATGACACAAGAGATCCTGAAAAAAAGGCTGACTGTGAGACATTTCAAAGAAACCAAATGGTTAATTGCATAGGGGAGAAGCAAGAGGAACAGCTCTCAAATTCCCTCTTCACATGATTGGTATTGTGCCAACATTGATCCCAACCAAGAAATGGAGGAACAGTTTCAGAGTCAGAATAGCCAAATGTATTTACTGCTTGACATAGTTTTGAGTTCTAAATGGAACAATGAGATAAACAGAAAAGTCTGGATTTTATTGTTTTAATTCTGAAGATGTATTAGGGTTGTGAGATGCCACAACTGTGTTTAACAGTTGAGCTAACCTCAAAAATAAAAGCAATCCTTAAAACTGGAAGCTTATATGTAGATATTAAAGACAGGCACTAGTTAGCTGAAAGTGTTCAGGGAGCGGTGCAGGTGGGAGGGAAGTTATGGGGGAGAAAAAGCCATTGTAATCCATAAACTGTACTTTGGAAATTTATATTTACTAAATAAAAGTTTAAAAAAAGAATATATTTGAAAAATGTTCAATATTTGTGTATTCAGAACTGACATTAAAGATATAAGGCAAACACAACTGCTAGTTTTAAATATTCATTATGGAATGAATACATATTCATTCATCGATATTACACAAACTTCCAATGTTATCAATAATATTCATCTATCAATGTGTTGTTCCAGTTCTAGACTATGGTCATGAGATACAGCAATAATATGCCACTTTTTGTACATCTATATCAAAACTCCTACATCTGTCATTTAATTTGAAAAATGGATATATAAGAAGTGAAGAGCTTACTATCTACCATTCAAGATGGCTTGATAATTCTTGCTGAAAAAGAAACAGCTTCAACACAACAAGGAGACTTACCAGATTTAGGGTAGGTGGCAATGACAACATCATCTGGTCTTGCCTGGAATGTTTCCACGTCATCCCAATACTGGACAAACTCTTTATACATTAGAATGCCATGGACCTCATCGAAGTTTTCATAATACTCAGAATTGCGAGAATCCATTTTGGAGTGGTACACTAAAAAAAATTGTGTTATACTTTGTATTTATTTTACAATGTTTTATCATTAACAATAACAACATATATTGAAATTTTCCTAAGTGTTAGCACTTCTTAGCTGTTGTGTAAATGGAGTAAAAGCATATTAGAATTCTACGTTACATAATCTTCTTGCTTGAGTTTTCAATTTTATTAACATAGGTCTATTATATGAAAGAATAAGGAAATATAACAATAAAGTATGGTATACATAGCACATTCTATGATAAGAAAGAGCAACAGAATCTTCAGCTTCTGTCAGAAAAGATGAAATGTGGCTGGCGCCGTGGCTCACTAGGCTAATCCTCCTCTTGCGGCGCCAGCACCCCCAGGTTCTAGTCCCAGTCGGGGCGCCGGATTCTGTCCCGGTTGCCCCTCTTCCAGTCTAGCTCTCTGCTGTGGCCCGGGAGTGCAGTGGAGGATGGCTCAAGTTCTTGTGCCCTGCACCCCATGTGAGACCAGGAGAAGCACCTGGCTCCTGACTTCAGATCAGCGCGGTGCACCGACCTCAGTGCACTGGCCGCGGCGGCCATTGGAGGGTGAACCAACGATAAAGGAAGATCTTTCTCTCTGTCTCTCTCTCTCACTGTCCACTATGCCTGTCCAAAAAAAAAAAAAAAAAAAAAAAAAAAGAAGATGAAATGTGAAAAAAGGCTAAATAATCCACAAATACAATGATATTTGGCAAAAGTTTCAATTATATATACATTAAATAAAATAAAATTGATGGTCATATTTAAGAGTTATTGCCAGATCTCTAAGTCAGAGCTTCCTTCGTTCCTTTGTAAAAGTAATTTCATGAAAAGAATTCAAATTCTTGGGGAATATACTTAAAAGAAGATAAAATTAATGACACTATAATGGTTATATCTAAGACACAGAATCTTGAGAGTTCCTGATTCCCATGTGATCACTAATGTTGTCTTGACTTTTCTCCCTCACTTGAACAGTGAATTATTAGACACTCACATTATTGATTTGCTTTAAAATTATAAAGTTGAGCAAGATTGTTCTAATTCATCTTTATATCTTAACAATTTTATGTCCAAGGTTAGTGATAAAATTTTTAATTAAACAAATTTTCCTCCATTTGCTTTCAACTTTCATTAATATCTGTTTTTCAGCTATCAAGTTTAGCCTCTTAACAGTTTAAGATGGAGCATCTCAACAATCTCTGCTCTTCTGCAGTGTTAACCTTTCTGAATCACCTTCCCATTACTCTAGCCCAGAAAGATACCTGGTAACTTGTTTTATCCTTATACCTTGATGGTAAATGCAGTTTTTAGTATCTTTATCACTGAGTCTGTATTATAATAAAAGCCTATTGGAAACTGGAAATTATTCTTTTAGTTACCTACTCTGTTTCCACTAATATACAGAATTCCAATTCTTAAGAGATGCACTGTAAAGAGGAAATTGAATTAATAGATGTGGTAACAAAAGTATTAGTCATAAAGAAAAAAAATACCTGATGATAAAATTGCATTTTACAAAGATTAATGCCCTACAAATTAAACTAAATAATTCAACCATTGATTTTACTGAAGGCTTCTGATTGTGTTCTCCTGACTACATTTATAGGCTATAAACCACAGACATAAATGTTGTCTCCTAGTTCTGCTTCACCAATACCTTATGCTACATCCAATAGATCCATATCCACTATTTCCTGTGTTTCATGACTTTATGGTAACCAGTGTAGTTCAGAACCACTCTAATTCCTAATTGGATATAAAAATAGTCTTCCATCTGCTCTTTGTGTAAAGAGTGTAGCCCACCTCTCTCCAAAACCACACAGTGGTGGAAAATAGCTGTTATTTATTAGGCACTTTGTACCAAACTTGAAAAGTTTTCTTTTACAGACTTATTTACATTCATAAAATTCCATGAAAATACAGGCCACTGTTTAACCCATACTGACATTCTCGGCAGCCCTGTGTGGGGATGGGTTGATTCAGTGGAGGCTCCTATCACTAGTAGCTTGAATTGTAATAAATCTCGACCCCAAATAGGAAAGTGAATAAGAATATAGGGGGAAATGTGAGCAATGAGGTATTAGCCTCCAGGATCATAACAACTAAAACATTTTTTATCAGGACCTTTAAGAGAAGCAGCCAACAGATTGGTTTTAGAAATTTCAGGTTTATCAACAACAGGCTTTAACACATCTTTACAATCCTGATTAGCATTTTTTATGGCCAAAACCTGATTGGCTTCTTGAAATTCTACTTGTCGCCCAATAGCTCTTTGTAATTTATCAATAAAGGACATAATTTTTGGCAGACCCTTGTTTTACTGTGGAGAAAAAGATGCATAGATTACAGGCAACAGGTATCTCTTTCCAGGTTTTTAAAGCCATATTAGAAATTTGAGTATTTGCTTCCCTTAGGGGATAGTTAACTTACTGATTTGGATTATTAAAAGCTCCTTCTGCTAATAATTGATCTGCTCTAATAGGTATATTATTAGTCAAAATTATCCATGGCTTGGGCATGAGCAAGATCTTGATACTTTTGTGCCCACACCGTATACTGTGCTGCTGTTGCAAGCACCTTTATTAAAGTTTGCCAGTCCCAGGGCAAACGTCCTCCAACAGTCTCTAACAATCCCACAGTATAAAAACTTTGCATGCCATATTCAGTGAGGTTCTTTTTTACCTTTTTAAAAAATATTATAAGGTAAAGATTCATGCCTATGTAGGGCATTTTGTGGTCTTAAAATAGAGCAAACATCTGATAAGGAATCCGCTTGTTCTTGTGCATCCTCTAACATTCCTAGCAGGGTGCATTGGGCAGGGCGTTCTTCCATGGAAAGAGCAACAACAGAATTAGTTTTTTCCTCATCAGCAGCCCTGGGAGCTGAGGGACAATTCTGTGGCAAAGTTGGAATGGTTGGGTGGCTCTCCTGACCAGGGAGAGCCTCCAACAGGCTCACAACCTTGCCGATTGTGTCCCAACAGCAATACCATGCCTGAAGCACAGGGATGAGAGCTCATGGCTCCTGATGTAGTTTTTCTCCTGTTTTTTCCCAATCCATAACCTTCAAAGTGCCTTTATCAGGATACCAAAGGTAAGAGCTGTCTAGTTCCTGAAGTAACTGCCCGCTGATATTTTCAGGGATGGAGGGTCCTGCCTGTTTCAGCAATTAATACAATTCTGCCTTATGCTTTTGTTGCACCAGGGAGAGGGAATTCCCCATGTTAATGACTCACCAGGATCTCAAAGAGATGAACGATGCGTCTGTAACCCTTGCCCAGTATGGTGAGCCCTCCCTTGCACGCTGTGGCTGTGCTGAGGGTCCCTGTTTGGGCGCAGTTGTGGGTTTTTTCAAATGAAGAGACAGGACACGGGAGCATCCATTCTAAGAGAGTGCCGCTGGATAGCTTTGCCTTCCCATTTTTATTTAGAGGGTACCAGCAAGTCTACAACTCAGCAGACACGTAGACAAGATTATATGTCAACTTAAGGATTTGGGAAAAGGAATTCAGTCTGGTGGCCTAAGATAGAGATTAGAGCTGTGTTGTAAATCTTCAGAGAGAGGCCCATTGAGATGTTTGTGCAAATTTACAAATTCCAGAAAACACCCTAGTTACCAATCAACATCCATTAGTTCCCTGGTGCTCAGGCTGCCACATTCCTTTGGGAGCAGGTGTGCTCATCCCCAGCCTGTTTTGGCATGAGCAGAAACTGGAGCCCTGCCTCTAAATTCAGAACAGTTTGCTGTCTCTGAGACACTTACACAGCATTCTCTACACACAATTATTGATCCCAGTGGAATTTGGGGTGCAGAATATTTTATTCCTTCCCCAAAACATTATCTTTAGCAAGAACAAAAAGGCCACCCTCTTTCCTTCAGAATCTCCAAATTTACTATGAGAATAGCAAAGGAGCTTTTCCTGAGCTCATAGCTTATTGTGAAAAAAAGTTACCTATCCTACTCTTAGCAGGCCAGACAGGATGGAGAATTGTAAATTGGGTCTTTTGATGGGTTTGTGTCCCCACCTGGTAACTAAATTCCAATCTGATTGTCAAGTTTTACTTTTCCCTTCAGAAAGTGTACTTAAAAATCCCACAACCACCAGCCCTTTGGGGTTTTTTCATCTCTTGAAATCCCCCTTCATGCCACTCTGGCTGGAGGCCTTTGATTCTTTTTTTTTTTGCAGAGTGGACAGTGAAAGAGAGACAGAAAGGTCTTCCTTTATCATTGGTTCACCCTCCAATGGCCACTGTGGCTGGCGCACTGAGGCCAGTGCACCGCGCTGATCTGAAGCCAGGAGCCAGGTGCTTCTCCTGCTCTCCCATGCGGGTGCAGGGCCCAAGCACTTGGGCCATCCTCCACTGCACTCCTGGGCCACAGCAGAGGGCTGGCCTGGAAGAGGGGCAACTAGGACAGAATCCAGTGCTCCGACTGGGACTAGAACCTGGGGGTGCTGGCGCCGCAGGTGGAGGATTAGCCTATTGAGCCACGGTGCCAGCCTGGAGGTCTTTGATTCTAATAAATACTTTTAAATCTCTTTGCCGTCCACCTGGAAATTCTTCTTCCATGTGAGACAAAGAACTGAGGTAACAATGATTTCTCCACCACTGTTTTCCCATAACAACATGAAATTACTCATTTTCTCACATTCTTTTATTTTAACTTTTATTTAATAAATATAAATTTCCAAAGTACAGCTTATGGATTGCAATGACTTTCATTTTCTCACATTCTTACTATTGGAAATTATTTGTTGCAATGTTTAATAATGTGAAAACACATTTTAAAATATTTTAATGTGCATTTCATAGATGTTTTAAAATTTTTCATTATTTCATAGCCATAATTTATTGGTCTTTGAGTCATTTTGATACCGTTTGTCCATCTGGAGTTTTCTTAAGTAACTTATAGCTAATAATTTGTTGTTGACAATTATATTGAAAATACAAATTATTTTTCCACATCATAATGCATTGATCTTTCAACATTTTCTTAAAGATTTCATTTATTTGAATGGCAGAGTGACAGAGAGAGAGGGAGACAGAGAGAGATCTTCCCTCCATTGGTTCACTTCCCAAATGGACACAATGGCCAGGGCTGAGCCAGACTGAATCCAGGAGCCAGGAGTTTCTTTCAGGTCTTTCACACAGACACAGGGACCCAAGCACTTGGGCCATCTTCTGCTACTTTTCCAGGTGCATTAGCAGGGAACTGGATCCAAAGTGAAACATCTGGGACTCGAACCAGTACCCTTATGGGATGCCAGCATTGCAGAAGGCAGCTTAACACATTATGTCACATTGCTGGCCCTGATCTTCTGGCTTTTTAAGTGATGTTGTAGAGATGCCTACTGTTTGTATTATCAAATGTGTCACATTTTCCTCTGATGTTTTGTGTGTTTAGTTAAATAGCTAACTGTGCTCATGTAATAAGAAATGGATGTGTTGAAATGCAATATACTTTTTTTTTTACTTTTATTTAATGAATATAAATTTCCAAAGTACAGCTTATGGATTACAATGGCTTCCCCCCCATAATGTCCCTCCCACCCGCAACCCTCCCCTTTCCTGCTCCCTCTCCCCTTCCATTCACATCTAGATTCATTTTCGATTCTCTTTATATACAGAAGATCAGTTTAGCATACATTAAGTAAAGATTTCAACAGTTTGCTCCCACACAGAAACATAAAGTGAAAAATACTGTTTGAGTACTAGTTATAGCATTAAATCTCAATGTACAGCACACTAAGGACAAAGATCCTACATGAGGAGTAAGTGCACAGTGACTCCTATTGTTGACTTAACAAATTGACACTCTTGTTTATGGCATCAGTAATCACCCTAGGCTCTTGTCATGAGCTGTCAAGGCTATGGAAGCCCCCTGAGTTCACCGACTCTGATCATATTTAGACAAGGCCATGGTCAAAGTGGAAGTTCTCTCCTCCCTTCAGAGAAAGGTACCTCCTTCTTTGATGACCCATTCTTTCCACTGGGATCTCACTCGTGGAGATCTTTCATTTAGGTTTTTGTTTTTTTTGTTTTTTTTGTTTTTTCCCCAGAGTGTCTTGGCTTTCCATGCCTGAAATACTCTCATGGGCTTTTTAGCCGGATCCGCATGCCTTAAGGACTGATTCTGAGGCCAGAGTGCTGTTTAGGACATCTGCCATTCTATGGGTCTGCTGTGTATCTCACTTCCCATGTTGGATCGTTCTCTCCCTTTTTTATTCTATCAGCTAGTATTTGCAGACACTAGTCTTGTTTGTGTGCTCCCTTTAGCTCTTAGTCCTTTCATTATGATCAATTGTGAACAGAAATTGATCACTGGGACTAGTGAGATGGCATTGGTACGTGCCACCTTGATGGGATTGAATTGGAATCCCCTGGTATGTTTCTAAATCTACTGTTTGAGGTAAGTCAGCTTGAGCATGTCCCGAATTGCGCATCTCTTCCCTCTCCTATTCCCACTCTTACATTTAACAGCGATCACTTTTCAGTTAAGTTTCAGCACTTAAGAAGAATTGTGTATTAATTACAGTATTCAACCAAAAGTATTAAGTAGAACAAACAAAAAAATACTAAGAGGGATAACATATTAAGTTGCTCATCAACAGTCAGGGTGAGGGCTGATCAAGTCACCATTTCTCATAGTGTTCATAGTGAAATGCTATATTCCTTTATTCTAATTCAGATTATTAATATATATTATATATACAACACTATTGTGCATATACCATCTTATTATTAAATTAATATTAATCATTAAAACATAATATAGCAAAATATATTACACCTATAAAAGTGTATTCAGCAGAGAATAGTTATTAAAATGTTAGACTCTACAGTTTATCCCCTTGATTTAAATCATAGCTCTGCTACTTGAAATTGAATCATCTTGGCAAATAATTTTAACTCTACTTTGCTCTGTTTTCTCACCTGCAAACTGAAGATAGTAATAATATTTATGTGCAAGTTATTGGGATTAAAATGAGAGAAATACAGCCAATTACAAATGCTTAATAAATGTGAGCCTATATTATATAGCAAGTCCATAAGAAGATGTACAAGGATGTTGTCACTTAGCATGCGTAGTGTAACATCCTTCTGCTCAAAGCAGAGAAAACATGTATTGCAAGAAATTCTCAAGAATGCATTTCATAAACTTAAAATCCTGTAGAAACTCATAGTTAATAATCTGTTTCTCACTAGTGAGGGTAAACTAAATATCTAGAATGACTTGCTACCATTGGTTTGCTTCTCTACAGTTCTCTGAAATTAACTATAAGACCGTCATTTCCAGTTTACCCCAGAGTGCATGCCAGCAGAGAGGTCTAAGTAAGAGTTTGTCATTTGTTTGCTTTTGTTCAATGAAAACTTAACAAATGCTCTGGGAAACCAGAAACACTGCCATATACACTCTTCCCCAAAAGAAAAGCGTTCCCAATTCCCAAGAAAAATCTCAGCTCTCTAAAAACCTTCCCTCTCAAGCATATAAGATATTATCTTACCAGAATTATGCAATTTCTATTCCCAAAACAAAAGTCAGCCTTATCAATAAGTCAACTTGTTCCCCAAAATCCCATGCTCTCAGAAAATAAAGCTTTTACTTGCCCTACTGATTTATTCATTCATGTGAATTACTTTCTTGGTATTCAGCCAAGTTTTTAAGAATTGGATAGTAGTCAACTGGGAGTGGCTGATTTATTAAGTGATTGTCTGACTTCTTGCTATCCTTCATGGTCAATTTTTGTTCTCAGAGGTTAACTGTCTTTCCTCATTTAATTTGTTTCAGAAAATTGTCTCCTATCACAATATATGGATTTGCTTTCAATCTGCTATCTTCTTTCTCAGAAGCCTATTTCAGTCAGAAATTGTCAATTTAATTTCCTAAGTCTGTAGGTTGTAATTGTTCAGAGCACCAACAAAGTGTGAATAAAATTCATTACATTCAAAAGGTTTCTCCTTTTTTTTTTCTCTTTCACCTTCTTTCTTTTAGCTTCCTCTCTAGCTTCAACTTCTTTTCAACCTCTCTTCTTCCATACCTCCAAGCTACCATTTACTCAGAAAACACTGTGTGGATGTCTCTCCTCTTCTTAGACACTACCAAAAATAATATTCTGGCAAATACTGACATATAGGGTTCTCATAGTCCTCATCCTGTTAGAATTACCTGGATTTAAATGGCTGAAGCAGACACTATCATTTTATATCTTTCTGTGTCCTAAGTCCCAGTAGATGCTCAGAAATATCTGTTAAATTTAATTATGTAATCAAATCTCTCACTAAGTATTTCCTTAAAAAATTGTCAATATGCTACGTTTCAGTGATTTATCATGGACTTTGGAGTTCTATGTTGATCTGCAGTTTCTCACTTTCATGTAACAGTAATATTTGTGAAACCTATGATAATAATAGAATACCTCTGATATATTTCACATGAGTAATCCCAAGACTAGAGTCTGTCTCCATTCTACCTGTTTCTATCTTGCTTGCTTTGTTTCCTCATCAACAAAATGGAATGCATACTCACTGATTACTGTAAAGTAGCTACAATACTACTATTTTATATCAAAACTCTTTACACAGCAGAAACTCTATATAAGTTCCTATTTTTAACAACAATGAAAGGATTTTAAAAGGCTTTAAACACTTTACACTATTAATTAGCTGCAGTAATAATAACATTTCATTCTCCTTAAATTTTTGTGGTATTTAATTTGTGTTCTGTATCTAAAATGTAAGTATTAACATCAGCAATTTAAAAAAATACTACCTGCCCAGATGATCCTGTGAAAGATATTGAATGATCTGGTTTAGCTCTCTCCAATTACCAATGCAGGTTTAGAGCTGGAAAAGAAAATGAGAACTACTTGTGCATTTGTAATGTTTCTGGTGAGTTTTTATTCTGAATGTCACAGAAGGAGGTGGAGATTAATTTGTGGGGCTTGGCTTTGTGATGTAATGGATTAACAGATATGAACACACACCTACAGATGTCTTTAACCATACAAAAACATGTTAATTCATGCAGAGATGGAGACAGCCTTTGATTCTTTTTTTTTTTTTTTTTAACCTCTGGCTTAAAATCAAATTCCTAAACTGGCTAATAGCTGTCAGAGGATATGGGGTGGTCAGAATAGAGGGCAAAATGAGAGAGAAGAGGACTGGAGCAAGCACAGATGAGATTGGAAAGGAGGAATCCCCTTACACACTCACTAAGAAATAATAACCTGGGTGGGGTTGGCATTCAAAAGAATAAACTTAGAGAAGTAAAAGAAAAGAAGAAAATGAAATGAAAGAAACATGAGGATGTTAAAGAACCCAGATCAGAAAACCTCGCTCAGTTTCCTGAGACCTACCAAAGAGGACTTTGTAGTATTTAATTGTGTCCTAACAAATCAATTGGGAAATATTTTTAAAATCCTTGCATTTGAGGTGGAAGCAGCCCTGAAAGTAGAAATCCTATGACCAGTTAAGAAAGAATGTAGTTATCACTTAGCCCCAATTATTACTTTAGGAGCTTCACTTCTCTCTCTATGGTATTTTGTGGTATTTCCTGATCAAAGTAATCATTGTCATGAATTTAGAGAGGAAGATGAAAGAAATAAATACCCCAGGGTTTGTGACATCCATGAATCATTCACCTTTCTTTTCATGTCTTTGGACCTCCTCTGTCTTCAACTGAAGAAATTATTTCTTGTTCACATCCCTTCATCCCTATCAGTTAACTCCAACCAGTTAACTCCAACCCTGGTTGGTTCTCATTTGTCTCTCAAATCCAACTGGATTGCATTTCCTTTTAGAAACTTTATTGAACTCTTATAAGATTGAGTCTCTTCAAATGAGCTTCAAATATTTTATTTGCTTCACCAGTACCTATTCTACTGTGCTGTAATAAATGTCTATGTGTACAACTTCTTTGTCAACTGTAAATATTTTGAGAACAGTCTTACTCTGTAATCACCATACTACCTGGCATCTAGTCAGCCAGGCACTGGATACATACTTAGTAAGTGAACGTGGTTGGTATATCAAGCAAAGATAAGAAGTGAAGGGGCCGGTGCCGTGGCTCAACAGGCTAATCCTCCACCTTGCGGCACCGGCACACCGGGTTCTAGTCCTGGTCGGGGCGCCGGATTCTGTCCCAGTTGCCCCTCTTCCAGGCCAGCTCCCTGCTATGGGCCGGGAGTGCAGTGGAGGATGGCCCAAGTGCTTGGGCCCTGCACCCCATGGGAGAGCAGGAGAAGCACCTGGCTCCTGGCTTCGGATCAGCGCGGTGCGCCGGCCGCGGCGGCCATTGGAGGGTGAACCAATGGTAAAGGAAGACCTTTCTTTCTTTCTCTCTCTCACTGTCCACTCTGACTGCCAAAAAAAAAAAAAAAAGTGAAGGGAATCACAGTTGCTAATATCAAGCCTTATCCAAATGAAAAAAGTTAAGTGGTTTCTGAGAAATGGGGCTTTTAATGATTGAAAATCTGCAAATCAATAAGCAAAATGAAAATAATCTTGATAATTCACTCTTCTGCATGAATAATGGGTATATAGGAGTTACAAAATGTTTGAGTCAGTGGTCTGACCTCTGCTCTTTTGTACAACCAATCTAGAAAAAAATCCCAGATAAATACTTGTTTTGTTTTTATTTATTTATTTTTTTAAGATTTAGCTATTTACTTGAAAGACAGCATTCCAGAGAGGCAGAAGCAGAGAGAGAGAGGTTTTCTATATGCTGGTTCACTCCCCAGATGGCCACATGGCCGAAGCTGCACCAATCTGAAGCCAGGAGTCAGGACCCTCTTCTGGGTCTCCCACTTGGTTACAGGGGCCCAAGGACTTGGGCAATCTTCTACTGCTTTCCCAGGCCAGAGCAGATAGCTGGATAGGAAGTGGAGCAGCAAGGACTAGAACTGGTGCCCATATGGGATGCTGACGTTGCAGACTGAGGCTTTAACCAACCCATTGCACCACAGCACCAGCCCCTACACTTGTTTTTAAAAATATTTATCTGGATCCTTAGGGCAGACATAATGAAATCAGACATGACCCCCTAAGAAGTAGTGCTGCTGTCATATCCTAAAACACTGAAAACAAATACAGAACTGGCACTTCTATGTGCCAAAATATTTCCAAAACAATGGCTTTTCCTTATTTGTTACTGTTGATTTTTTTTTTCTTTTCATTCTACACCATACATTTCTTTTGGCTCATTTGAAGATTCTAGAATCTTTTGTGACAATATTTTAATATTAATCGTATAAAATTGACATTTATCTGAGTTTTCAATTATTATTATTACTAGAACAGTTTCAGGTTATTAAAAAAATGAGCATCTAGAACAAAGAGAGCTAACCTTCTGACCTGTATAGATTTTTCTATTATTAGCACCTTGCATCAGTATGGAATCTTTGTTACAACTGAAGAACCAATATTGATATAGTAATTTTAGTTTAGTTCCTGGCTTGCATTAGAGCTCACTTTTCATTGTATGTAATCTCATGGGTGTTGAAAAATGCATAATGTCATAATCCACCATTACAATATAATTAAGAATAATTTCACTGCCCTGAGAGTCTCTCGTACTCTGCCAGTTTTTTCTGCCTCCTCACACTTGAACCCTTGACAACCAGTAGACTTTTTAATTTCTATGGTTTTATCTACCACAACATCATGTACTTGGTGTCACATAGCATGTAACCTTTCCATGTTGAGTTCTCTTGCTCAACAGCATACATTCAGGATTTTTCTGTATCCTTGGTGAATAGATTGCTGCTTCTTTCCATTGCTGAATAACAACTTTTTGAATGGATAAACTGCAGTTTCTTTATCCATTCAACTATTAAAAGACATCTATATCACTTCCAATTTATTTCAATTATTAATAACACACCAATAAGCATTCATATTCAGGTTTTGAATAGACATAAGCTTTCACTTCATTTAGGTAAATATCTAGACCTGTAATCGATGAATGGTAGGGAAAGACAAGGTTTAGCTTTGTAAGACTTTGCAGATTTTCTTCCAACCCATCTGTTTCATTTCACCACCAGATTTGAAAGGAGTTCCTGTTGCTTGCCATCTTAGCCAGCATTTGGTATTGTCAGAGTTTTGGACATTATCTGATTTAGTGTTAGACTGTGTATAGTGTTTGCTATAGTTATACATATATATAACTATATATTATATGTGACTATATATTATATTATTATAATATATATTATATACAGTTACATAATGCAGGAAGACTAAGAAAGCCTTTGTAACTGCCCTTCCTCCTAAGTCAAAGAAGCCTGGTAAAGACTTTCTCCTTCTTGGAGCAGGCCTTTCCTGTGCAGATCACATCATTTCTGTGAGTTTTCTCCTTCCCTTTGCCTGAAGCACAGGGGAGTTTCCCATTTCCTCACTGTGAAGCATCTGGAAGCAAAGCTCACAGAAACCTGAGGTCTCTCTAAGACTAGACCCTCTAGCCTTTTTTTTCAGTAGTTTTAGTCCTGCAGCCACAGAAGATAAAGCTCTCCCTCAAGGCATAACCTAGAAACTCTTACTTCATTAATTCTGCACTTGACCTGGGAATTCAAACCCCAGAGCTCATTCTTTTTCCTACCACTTTGTCCAGCCACATTAGAAATAATCAATATAATTATATTCTTAAATTGTCAAAAATGTTCAAAAGTAGTCTATACAGAGTCACTTAGCTACTTACTTCTTATAAGTGGTTGATCAGGAATACCCCATACAGACTATATCTCTATAAAGAATTCATGTCATATACTATCAATGCCATCTTTACTACTGGAAATGGCACCCTTAAATCTAGTCAGATTGGAGAACGAATTCCAGAAACCCAAGAACCAGTTCATAAAATTGTGTTTAAATTTATTTTCCTCTAGAAGAACACTTAGCACCAAGTACTGGATTAGTCAGGATTCATCACAGAAAAAGAACCTATAGCATACACACACACAAACACACACATATGGTTGCTTCAAACTTTCATGAAAAAATGGAATTAAAATGTGAATTCATTTTGGTGCAAAAATTTGAAATCATTGTATAAGCTTTTTCATAACATGCATTGCCCATGAACTTTTTGAGGACCTTTTATATATTAAAATTAGTTTTATTATGTAATTATACCAACATGATTATGTTGGTGAAGAAATCACATCACCTGTCATCTGCAAACTGGAGTTCCTGGAAAGTTGATGAATTGATTCCATTCAAATCCAAAAATCTGAAAACCTCAAGGAGCATGGTTTGCTAGTGCAGGTCCCAGATACCAAAGACCAAATTTATTGATTCTGCATCTAAGGTTGTCACTCAAGGAGTTAGAAAGGTCTCTAACAAACTGCTTTGCTGAATAAATCACAGATCAAAAGATAACCTACCGTTACACCAAAGGATGACTTGAGAGGAGAGGATGCCTCATTCTGTGAATACCAGTTAGGCTCAATTCCCATTTACCTCCTGTCATTCCTCAGTGGATCAGTGAATAAAGTGGTCACAGTGACAAGGACAATAATTATTCATGAGCTCAGCAACATGGACTTCCATTCCCAAAGGTTGACATAGCTGTAGCTAGTTTCAAAGGCCTGATCTACCAGCAGATATTTACCAACGTTGAGACATGGACATGATTCCATCCCCAGGAATGATCAGTGAGCTATCTGGGGGCAAGGTGATTACATTAAAGATGTAGATTTTGTTCCTGCTGGAATAGACGCTCTGGGTATACTCTGGTATCTTCCTTACATGCAGTGCTTCTGTCTAAAGTACAATACATGGATTTATGCAACACCTTATCCACTGTCATGGATTTTTCTTCACAAGTAAAGAAGTGTGGCAATTGACCCATGCTCACAGAATCTATGATAATGGTGGTCTTACTGTCATCCCTATATTCCTGAAGCACCTAGCTTGGTAGAACTGTTGAATGGCCTTTGAAGACTTGATTATAGAGTCAGGCCTTGTAAATCTGGGGCAGGTTTGTCCTGCAAGCTTTATGTGCTCTGAA